AACGCCCCCAGTCTGCTACTCACTGTGCTCCTAAGAAGGCCCGGCACCTCCTAACCCTGACCCACTGCCAAGGATGCAATGCATCTGCACCTGAAAGAAAGCTAGAACATATGTCAAACACCTCCAGGATAACTCACAAGCTGCAAACACCTTATATCAATCTAGGAATAGCATCTAGAGCCCAATTACACCCCACATTACAAATTCCAGCTCCCCAGGCTTGTCCTTTTGCAGCAGGCCATGCGGCAGGGCAGAACAGCTCCGGCACAAATGTGTGCAGACACCCGTGACACAGAACGTGACAAACAGGGGGACATTAAACACGACACATCATGCTTGTGGTGAGGGCCTCGAGGGGAGAAGGCAAAAGGGACCCCAAAGACACACTAGGGAACACGCCACACTGGACTGAGACAGAGTAGAGATCCATTCTGAATTAGGTGAAGTGTCTAAGAGAGGTGAAAAGTCTGTGAGGCCAAAGCTGAAGGAAAAGTCAGATGCCTGAGACAGCAAGACGACAGAGAAAGAAAAACAGAAATGACCACAAGGTCAATTTGCCCCCCCACCTAAGAATTCCTTTGATAAAGGAGAATTGGTGATAAATGTCATGCGGAATGAATATGTATGAACTTATTGTGAAACTGTATGCATATGCATTTGGAAGGGGGAAAAAGGAGACCTGAAGTCTTCAGGGGTACGCATGCCTTTTTGGGGGGGCCTGCGTCTGGCGCGTGTCGTAATAAAGGCACACCGGGCTTTACAACTTTTATTAAGTTGTGAGATTTCTTCTTTTCTCTGCAAAACAGGACAACACAACACAAACCAGAGCTGTTCTGCACTGCCCGCCTGAAAGCTGCCATCAAAAGTAGTGCCTCTCCCTTTAGCTGTCCTAGGAGGCCCTTGCAGAAGATTGCTTTTCCTCTGCTAAATTTTAAATTTGTCACAAGAACACCCAACCTGCTACTCTCCCATCTCCAAGCCTTGGCCACCAACTTATCTTTTGGATGATCGGTGATGGGAATCCACGTTGCACCTGAAATGAGTCTGCCTCGGAGGGCCCCGTGATCACCTGTGAGCCTCTCGGTCAGCTACAATAAAGAAAACCAAAACCAAAGTATGAGTCCAGAGTTATGTGGGCCAAATCCCAGCAAGGCAGCTACTTGCCCTCTCCTGAGTGTGCCTGGCTCCTTCAGGCTCCAGCTTCATCCTGAGTCCAAGGCTGTGGCCTTTATTAGGAGTGGCACCAGGGTCAGAGAAAGGCAAAGTTAAATGGCATTCCTGTGAGTGCAGTGGATGACGTTGTGTCCTGTAAGACATGGCAATGCCTCTGCTAGGCTTCTGAGAAGCCTTGTGTGCGGGGGCCCTGAAATAAACAAATAAACACCCTTTCTCACCCTGCTGCCTTCAAACCTCTCCCAGCTGACAATAACTCCTAACTGGATACCTGCTCACCTTCCCTCTCCCAGTCACAATCCTCAACTCACCTGAAGCCCCAATTTCAACACGGGGCAGATCCCTCTTGTGATATGATGAATCTGCTGAAAAAAATGTTGTGCTTTACACAGCTTGGATTTTCAGGGAGTTGCACTCCTCAAATACACCCCCCCACCACCAAAACAAAAACAAACAAACAAACAAACAAAAAACCCACAACCCCAAAAACAAAAAAAGCCAAACCTGAAAACCCACAAAAACAAAACAAACAAACAAAAAAAACCCCCCAAACCCCAACAAAAACAAAAAAACCCCACAGAACCCCCCCAAAAAAACCAAACCTACAAAAACCAAAAAAACCCAAAAAACCAATGAAAATCAACCAAAAACCCCAAAAAGAAAACAAAAAAACCCCAAAAATTCCACCAAAAAAATCCAAGAAAAAAAAAAAAAAGAGCAAAACCATAAATTACAAAAGCACCTTACCCCTAAACACCAAACCCAAAATCACAAACCTAAATGCTCCCTGTATTCCATGGTGTTTTCTTCACAGTCTCTTCCAAGCCTCTGTGCTTTAGATGCCCAGAAACACCTGCTGGAAACAACCTGAGATAAGCTGAAAGAGCCTCTTCACTGAAATGAGAGGAGAGCCCTCACCCCAGCACATCCCAGACAGGGAATGAAGCCCCTCAGCCAAGGCTGGGGTTAATATACCCCTGATGGTGCCCGCCTCTCGTTCCCATGGCACCCAGGAAAAGGGAGGGAGCGAATCCCACCGGGTATAAAAGCCCTCAGAGCAGCTGCAGCTGTTTGGCTCCTCTGACTCAGATTCAAGGGCAGTAAAGAGCTTGCTATAGAAGAAAGCTCTTCAGAGAAATAACGGCGCTTTCTTTTTTGCATCAACTACTTGGAGCAGAAGAACAGAAAACTGGTAATATATAAAACTTTGTGGTGAGGTTACATAGCTAGATAAATTGGGAAATTGGGTAATTTGCTGTTACCTTACATAATTATTCTGTGTTTAGCAAAGGCCATCTAGTAAATTCACACTCAAAACTCCAGCAGCAGAGCTGGTGCTACCAAATCTGTATGTTTACACATACAGTAAACAAAACCAAAATCCCAGTAATAGCTATCAGAAGTGTATGAAAGAAACCTATTGAAATTAATCCTACCTCAAATACAAACCAACCCATCCAGAAAGTCAGCTTCACTCAAAAAACAATTTACACAGAGTTAATAAGACCAAGAAATAAAACAACACACCATATACCACCAATGAATATAAAAGTGAAGAAAATAAAAAAAACCACTTTTTTTTTTTAAATTTAAACTAACTTCTTTTATTAGCTAGAACAAAAGCTTTTGCCAGGACTGTAACAACAAGTTACTTCTTCTCCTTCTCCTTCTGAAATGTCCCTTCTCATTCCCAAATTCCTTACAACTTCTGAGTTTACATCCAAGCAAAAAGCAAAATTCCTTCACTTGTGCGTTTGATGCTCCTGTCAGATTCTCTGTTTCCCTCCACATCTTCTTACACTTTCAGTCTTCACGCTGTCCTGCCGTGATGAGTTTGACAGAAGAATTGGTAAATGTTAAGAGAGGATTTCCCTGCCTCCCTCCCCAAAGCTGGTTTCCTTAGTGCATTTCACTCAATCCCAAACCGGCAATGATGCACGCTCACCTCAAGGCTCACAGCTGCTCGGCTAAATTTGGCTGTAATTGGCTAAACTCGGCTATTTTCGGCTAAATTCGGCTGTATTCGACTCTTCAACCCGCCTCGGCTCGCTTCGGCCGAACTCGGAGCCGCTCTGTGCGCTCGGCACGCCTCGGCTCGCTTCGTGTGAACTCGGAGCCGCTCTCTGTACGTTCAGCGCGGCTCGGCTCGCTTCGGCCGAACTCGGAGCCTCTCCGTGCATTTGGCTCGCTTCAGCCGAACTCGGAGCAGCTCTCTGTGCCTTCGGTGCGGCTCGGCTTCATTCGGCCGAACTCGGAGCCACTCTCTGTGCGTTCGGCTGAGCTCAGCTCGGCTCGGGGCTCCCTGAGGGCGGGCAAGCGGCGCCGCCTCATGTTTAACTCGCCTGGCTCGGGGCTCTCCTGCTGCCGTGTCCCGCGGGCGGCCCGGCCATCGCACGGACACGACCGGGAGCGCGGGGTGGCACAGGAGCTCATTACGCTGTGACCGCACTCGCGCTAATTAGCGCGCACGAGAGCAGCGGGCTCGGTTCGGCTGAGCTCGGCTCGGTTCAGGCAGCCTCGCAAGCCTGGCCTCGATTCGCTCGAGGCCGTCAGGTTCGGCCGGTCTCGCCTTGGTTCGGCTGAGCTCGTTCCATTCGGCCGAAGGAGGCGTCGTTCGCTCATGTTTTTACAAATATCTTTCTATATTGACTGTATATTTCTAGACTTAGATTTATATTTCTAAAATACTTCTTTTATTTAAAATAAACCCCCCATCTCTAACCAAATAAATACAAAAACCCACCTTTTTTCAAACGATATTGAAATATTTTATACTTAGTATAATTATATCCACATTTATATTTATAGTTTCTTTTGATGCAGTGTATTAATAATTACATATAATATATATAAAATTCTACAAATGGATTTAAATTATTATTTATATTATGTATCATATCTACTGCTACTATTTTTTTCTTGTTTTTAAACTTTATATATATATATATATATCTCTATATATCTGTATTTATTTATGATATGTTCCTATACTAACATTTCTACCTTTATATTATTTGTATTTTTAATTTTTATAATCAAAACCCTGCCTATTGACAAATAAAAAAAGCCCGTTTTATTTATTTAAAATATATTTTTATATTTATAATTTTCATATTTATATTTATAATTTGTTCAATATTACATGAGAACAAACCTGCTCCTGCAGCCCAGTGGGGCTCCTTCTCCTGGGGACCTTGGGGTGCTCCAACAGCATCAGAGTCTTCACCCCCTTCTCCTCTACTTTGAAACTACACTACAACTTTTTTCCGGAAACAAAGACATTACCTAAATCCTCTCCCCGTGTCCCAGACAGATAGATATTCAGTTATTAGTTGGCTGGGCAGCAGTTTCTTAAATAGAAGGATAAACAAGATGTGAACATTTTAAGTACAAGCAAACAGGCAAATCTGAACAAGGTACCGATGGCCAGCCACTGAAGTTATTTTGAAGCAATTTTTTAAACAATAAAATACTGATACCACAAAAATAAAGCAAAAAGCTAACTACTGGCTAAGAAAAAATTAACTTTTGAGAGCAACAACATTGCAACCACACAGGCTTTTTCACGATGTCATACCTTATAACTACCTCTCTTGGGAATTCTCATCATGTATCCCAAAAGGAATAAATACCTCAGAGTGTCCTAAAGCAAAAAGTAGCACACATGAGCTCCTCACACTCCCGGGAGGCCAGCACAGTGTGCACTGAGTCTGCAACAAATTCTGCTCAGCAAGGGTCTGCAAACAAAAGTTCAACTGATGAACTGAACTGATTTTAAAGAGAGGTTTTCTAAGCGCTGAAGCACAACAAAGAACAAGCAGAAACAATTCTTTAAAAAATCTGCAAGTTTTATTTAGCATATATGCGACTGATTTCCACGCTGTAGCTTCTCACTTTGATTCGTCTGTAGGTTCAGGAAGATGACAATGCACACTCTGCCTTCCCTGAGCCCCCCACAGCAGCTGAGTGCTGCTCCGTGTGCTCAGATCATCAGGAACTGGATTACACGTGCCCGGATGGACTGGAACTGCTCTGCTGCAGATTCAGGAGACGATGGCAGAGAGGGGCTGGCCGAGGCGTCATCCCAATTCCATTTCTGTGTGACGAGAAGCGGTTTGTTCCCAACAGCTGCAACAATCCCCAGCTCACTTCCGTGGTGAGTACCGATGGCACACAAATGGCAGCCTGAGGAAATCGTGTTCTGGGCTCTAAGTGGTTGGGACAGGGTCTGATTTTTTGTTTTGTATCTGTATGATGATTAGTACGACAGGGCCCTGATCGATGACATGGCAGCACAGAATTAAAAACTCCTCAATACGATTACATCGACTTCGAGGAAATGACAAAGGCTTAGGACCCTTCTGAAATCTACTTTTAATCCAAAGCACACGGATTGTCACTATGCTGCACCTTCCAGCTTTTCAAAGCAGCTTACTTCTGAAGACCAGGAAACATTGATTTCTACAGAAACAATGGGCAACCCCCAGGCTAATCTAAGCACTACTGTTTAATAGGGGATCTGCCAGCGTGCCAGTCCAGCTTCAAGTGTGCTTTATTTCAGTCTAACATCCCCACAAAATTCTTCTCACGTCTCCCAACCCTGAAATCTTATTTTTCCCTAAGGCTTCTCATTATTAGCAATTTCCAAGTAACATGGTATTTTTACAATATTCAAAAATGTCATGCTGGACTGTGCTAGAGAGTAATCTGCAAATATAAGCTTAGCAAAGTTTGAATTGACTTGTCCAGAGAAAAAGCCTACAAGTGAACACCTACACCTGCCTACAAAGAGCTAACAAGCCTCTGGCAGCTACCAACATCAAAGCACAGTGGCTGTTTCTAATACAGGGTAAGGATAATAATATCACCTTTTGTTCTCTCCAGCTTGTTTTCCCTGCAGTCATATTTTGCTTCTTATGATTTTTTTAGTCTCTGTATCTTCTTGGACAGCACCGAGCCTGACGACAAGGATACGAGAGTCTTTCCCTGCCGTACGGAGAGAACCAGGAAAACTGTTAAAAAAAGAACAGGGTAGTTTGAAATTCATACTTCCAACGAGAAGCAGTGCCTAACAAACAGAACAAAAGTAAACAAAGCATGATACCTCCCTGGGGACAGAAGACTTATAAACTCTCCAGGATTTACAATTCTAGCGACCAACCCCTTCAGGACAGCAGCCAAGTGTCCCATGAGGTGGTGCTGCACCAAAGAACGATCTGAGAGGTTCCAAAGAGTGAAATGCCCAGTATTTTGCAAAGCTGTAAAATCTTGCAAAATAACAAAAATACAATACATATAAACTACAGGGCAAGAGTACAAGTGTTCACTTTAAGAGCTGGAACCATCCAGGTGAGCACCTGATAACTGGATCCTCACCAGAGTTTGAACCCTTCAGGACACAGAAGGGTTTTCCCCAGAAATTTCACAGACTGAGTTTTGATAGAAGTATACTTGCCAGATCCTCAGAAACATCACCCATTCTCCAGGTGTCTGGAGAGAACTGCAAATGGCTCTCATGTAGTTTGAGCTAGTTCTGTAAGGTCTCAGGGTGAATTTCACCAGATGCAACCAAACTGGGCAACTCCCAGTGGGACAGAAGGAACCCAAAGCTTGGGTAAGCAGAGCTGCAGCAAATACTGAGGAAACAAACATAACAGTGTAAAAAATAATAAACCATCCTTTTTTTTTCTCTTGCTTTTGTTTTTTCTTATTCAGATCAGCGTAGCAATTAAAGAGAAGGTGAAAAACTCACCATTACTGAACATTTCATCATCTGTAAGCTGAGCATCCTTAGCATAGAGGACTCCAAAGTTAAAATTCACCGATCCCTGGGAAATAAAACCAAATATTGTATGATAAACAGTCAAACAGCAGACATAAAAATTTGTTTCCTCTAAGGACTTTCAGATATGCATCTTTGCATACATCCTACACATTAGAACATACACTTTATACCATCACCTAATACATAATAATTTACCTTTAAATTTTGATAGTATAGCATGAATTTTTAACTTAAATTGGTGATCTATTATTATTAAGTTGGTGCTTAAAGTTATTTCTGCTGTCATGTTCAAAAAAACATTAATTTTTTTTACTGTAATGACCAACTGATTTCAAAGTCATCACAAGCCCATCAAAATAAAAAGCTGTATTCACTGGACGGGTCTGTGAGCTAGAAGTAGTTAGACTTGTACTTCCCTCTTGTTCTTCCAGAACCAATAAACCCTGTCAACAAAACCAAGATCTTTAGGCCACTGCTGTGAAAGATTCTACAAGGATGATGGTTTGATTTGTGTTTAGAAGTTTTGATTTGAAATGGCCAGTTCAATGGATAAAGACAGTTTAAGTAGTATTACATTACTATTATTATTTCTATTATTATTTTTACTGTTACTACTACTATTATTATCACCTGCTACTGGAAGAAACAAACCAGTAGTACCTATACTTAATTACTTTTATTTCCAGAAAATAATAAAGAAAAAGAACCAAACCAAAAAAAGTCACTTCCTACCTTTTTTATCAAGTGATGAAAAATTTCTCTTGGGCTCTTCTCCAATTTATCAAGACTCATAGCACTGAAAGGCAAACAAAACAGTGCTTTATAGAAGGGCGAGTGCACATTTCAAGGCTGAACCACCAACTGATTGCAGTGACAGCAGTTACAAAATGAATCGTTCCGAGAGCCTCTGTTAAATGGAATGTTCTGTGGAACTGCCATTTCTTCCCCAAAATACTAACTTCCAACATTCCTAAACCTATTTTGTATTTTAAAACAACAGAAGTTAGTTGTTAGACTAAGTTAGACTCTGTGTGGAGGTCAGGTTTAAATTTATTTCCTTCTAAAGCACAGAGCTCTGTTCCATCACCCTTCCCTTCAGCTCTACACTGAATCATGGTGAGCATTTGAGGAGTGCTCAATAACCAATTCTATTTCTCTCTTTTTCTAGTTCTCTCTATTCCTAAATAATTCAAGACAAGTCAAATGAAAAATGACAAGTTCAGCATCAAAGTCACACTTTTTCCCTTTGTCTGGTCAAGAACAGGCTCTAAATCCACTTATTGCTGCTTTCAACGATTAAGACTTGCAAAACCATTTTTACATGTTTTATAGGTTTATCATAAAACCCACAGAACGCAAGCTCTGAATTACAGGAAAAGGTACACAGGCAAATATCTAAAGGGATCACTTATTTGTAAATACATACCTTGATAGAGATCACCCTGAGAATGTTTCTGTGGGACTCTAAGGGAGACATATTTTCTGAGTACCCTGTAAACAAGAAAAGCTAGGATATATTACAGGACATACCCACTTTTTCTACATATTCAAATAGGATTTTTAATAAAAACCATTCAGTTAAAAAAGAAGGAAGAAAACCAAGGTAATTTTACTCAGTTATATTTACTGTCGATTTAGACAAAAAAAAAAGTCACGGGTGCTGCAAAGAAAAAAAAAGTGAACCATAAACGCCTACAGTAGAATTTTAAAACAAGTGCTTGGATAAAAGAATCTCATGGAATGTGAAGTAGAAAAAAAGAACCAGTACCAGACCTGCCTATTTTCTCACCATTGTACAAGAAAATCCTAAAAGCAGTATAAAGTCACTGCATAAAACCGGTCATGGGATGTAACCAAGAACAATTTAGGCATTTGCTAATCTAGACAGAAACCTTTTCTGGATGCTAGTGTCAAATCACAAGTCTTGTCTTTCAGAAGCTCGACAATGTTGGAAAGCATTTTCCATGGGGCTCCGGAGGGCAGGGGCGTAAGGGGGTGAGTTTGCAGATCGCACCTGTGCCATCCGAAGGATACAGCCCGCCTGCTGCCTGCGCTGGGCATTCTTCTGGCCATCTCTGGGTTTACCGGTCAGCGCCGCTCCATCCGTTTTCATGGAAGAAAGAGCCACGAGCACTAAGGCAGCCAGCAGCCCTGTCATTCCGGCGATATTGCAGCACTCTCTGCTCGCAACGCCCAACACGCGGCGGAGCCACCTCCGCCCGCAGCACCGGCAGCAGCCCGAGGGAGACGGCTGCAGCTCGGGGGCTGCTGCGCCTCTGCCAGCCTGAGGGCAGCCGCCCCACTGGGACCGCGGGAACGCCTGGCGCTGCTTGCCCGGGGCGGCTCCTGCAGCTCCCGGCCCGCGGCAGCAAAGCACCGCCTCGCCCTCCACCATCGGCAGGCGGCAGCGCCCCCGCCCCCGGCACCGCTGAGTGAGGCCGAGGAACTCGGCGGACGCCCTTTCCGCGATGCTCAGCGCCGTGCGGGCGGCCAGACGGAGGCTTCGCCCCTCCAGCTACGCTGCCGCGGCGCCGTCCTGCGCGGGAGCTGCCCGCGCACAGCCCCGCGCGGCCGCCTGGCATGCCAGCCACTCATGTGCCGCGTCAGCTGTTGCGTCACACGCCGCGCCGGCAGCAGGGCCTGCCGGGAGTTGTAGTCTCGGGCTGACAGCCACGGCTCCGTCCCACGCCATCGGGAGCTGCAGTCCCTCCCGGGCATCAAACGGGACCTTCACCCCTGGGCGGGGAAGGACCTGAGGCAGCACCGCTCCTCCCGAATGCCCTCTCTTTTTCCCTCCAACTCTTTTTTCTTTTTTTACTCTGTTTTCACCCCTTCCCTTCCCTCTTGCTCTCCTGCTTCTTTTCCTTTTCCTTTTCCTTTTCCTTTTCCTTTTCCTTTTCCTTTCCCTTTCCCTTTCCTTCCCTTTCCCTCTCCTCTCCTTTCTCCTCTCCTTTCTCCTTTCCTTTCTCCTGTCCTTTCTCCTTTCCTTTCTCCTTTCCTTTCTCCTTTCCTTTCCTTTCCTTTCCTTTCCTTTCCTTTCCTTTCCTTTCCTTTCCTTTCCTTTCCTTTCCTTTCCTTTCCTTTCCTCTCCTCTCCTCTCCTTTCCTTTCCTTTCCTTTCCTTCCCTTCCCTTCCCTTCCCTTCCCTTCCCTTCCCTTCCCTTCCCTTCCCTTCCTGGAACCTTCCCTTCCCTTCCCGGAACCTTCCCTTCCCAGAACATTATCTTCCCTTCCCTTCCCTTCCCTTCCCTTCCCTTCCCTTCCCTTCCCTTCCCTTCCCTTCCCTTTCCTTTCCCTGTTCCTTTCCCTGTTCCTTTTCCTTTCCTTTCCCTTTTCCTTTCCTTTTCTTCTATTTCTGATCTTGGTTTTCCTTTCTAGCTTTAGAATAAAAAATCAGCAGTAGAAACTTTCAGGCTACCTGGGAGTAAAAAAAACCTCCAAAATGAAAATTATTTAAAGAAAACTATTTATTCCCTGGGAGCCTGAAATTTTTTAATGCTGCACGTGACATAGAGCTTTTATTCCTTCTTATAGATAGTTGATATTTTATACTTTCTTTATACAGCGCCCCCTGCTGTCTGCCCCGGCGCACTGCAGGCAGAGCGCTGCGGCGTCGTTCGGTTTTGTCTAATTAAACTCGGCTGAATTCAGCTTGGTTCGGCTCTTGGTCTAAACTCGTTTCAGTTCAGCTCTTGGGCTGAACTCAGCACGGTTCGGCTAAACTCGGTCATATTCGGCACATGGTCTAAACGCGGCCAATGTCGGCTACACTCGGCTATCGGTTACAGTTGGCTATCATCTGCTGTTGGTGTAAACTCAGCTGTTTTCGGCTACACTCAGCTGTTTTCGGCTACACTCGGCTCTTCGGGTAAACTCGGCTGTTTTTGGCTACACTCGCCTCTTCGGCTCAAGTCGGCTCTTTTCGGCCACCCTCGGCTCTTCGGCTCTTCGGAACAATTCGGCCCGGATCGGCTCCCTGAGGGCGGGAAAGCCGGCGATAAGAGGACCCCGGCACAGAGAGGCGTTTACCCAGATGCCTGTCACAAACCCGCAAAAATACGCCTGCCCGCGGCGCCGCTGAGCCCACGGCATGTGTCGGATACACTTGAAACGCCACAGAAAAATCCATCAGGCCGCCATGACGTCGGTATTCCATGCAGGCAGTCCAGTTACACCCACCGTGGTCCTCCACTTCCCCGCCCTTTTCGCTGCCATGTTGAGAAGGTCAAGGAAAAGTCCGCGACAAGCCACTCCCAAGGTGGCGGCCTCTCTGTGCAGGGCTGCAGTACCGCGCTCTGCCCACAAGGCGGCAGCACTGCTGCCCGCCCCAGCCAGGGGCGCAGCGTGCCTCGGGGCTGCGGGCAGGGAAGGCGGCAAAAAAGAACAAGGGCGACCCCCGACAAAAACTGCTCTGAAATAAATGCCCCAAAACAACCGGGAAGAGGAAAAAAACTTCTGCCTGTAATTTAATAGGATAAAAAACAAAACAAAAGAAAAAAACCCCCAACAATTTCTCTTAAAAATATTTAAATATTTTAAAAAATATTTTTTCATATTAATATTCACATTTCTGTTTATAATGTATATTGATATATACTGTCCATTTATCCATTTCATTTTATAAATACATTTATATTCTATATTGCATATATCCCTAAAACTTAAATTTATTTGTATATTTTTACACATATTTTTGCATAGTAAGTAATATTTCGGTTAGGATTTTTACTTCTGTAACACATACAGTATTCAAAATAAAACCCCTGCCTCTACCCATACATGCCAAATAAAAACCCCTTTCATTTCAAGCGTATTTAAATTAAAAAAAAAAATAATTTCGAATTTATATCCACATTTACATTTAAAATGTATACTGATCTATGTTCAATTTTACATTTATATTTTCTGATTTATTTATAAATTTATATTCTATGTTACATCTGTTCCTATTATTTATATTTTATTCAAATATTTTTATTCATATCTTTAAATATTTATTATATATTTATTTGTGTTAGGATTTTTACTTCTGTAACACTTACATTATTTAAAAGAAAACCCCTGCCCCAACCCACGTTAAAGCCAAAAAGAACCCCTTTCTTCTCAACTGTATTTAAATATTTTTTAAAAATTCTATTTTTCAGGTTCATATTCACATTTACATTTAACATGTATACTTATGTATACTGTTATTTGTATTCTCCATCACATCTCTTCCTATTATCTGTATTTACTTATATTTTGTGTTTATATATACATTTATATCTTGATTATATATCTCAATATTTAGAAATATATAACAATAATATCTACATTCATATTATTTAAAATAAAAACCCTGCCTCTAACCCAAATAGAATAAAAAAAAAACCCAACCCTTTCTTTTAAACAATATTTCAATAGGTTTTATCCTTATGTCTGATTTTTATATTCATATTTGTATTTATAATGTATATTAATGTATATTGCTTACTTACACATTTATCTTTATCAATGTCAATTGATAAATAAATTTATATTCTATATTACATCTGATGCGAGTAGTTAATTATATATTTTTATATTTTTTATACATATTTTTACATATTGATTATATATTTCTGCGTCAAGATTTTTACTTCTGTAACACTTATTTAAAATAAAACCCCTGCCTCTACTTAACTAAAAGCCAAAAAACTCCCTTTCTTTTAAACTATATTTACATATTTTTATATTTATATTCCCATTTATAATTTATATTGCTGTATAATGTTATTTATATTCTATAATACAACTCTTCATATTACTTACATATATTCATATTTAAGTTTATATTCATAGTTTAGCAATTTCTATTTATATATTTATTCTATATTTCTATCTTAAGATTCACATTTCTATAATACTTATATTATTTAAACTAAAACTCCTGCCTCTAACCAAATAAAAACC